TGTCACGGACAGCCACCAGGACCTTGTTGTTACAAACAATGAGAGCCCCTCAACACACAGTGAGCGGGTGATCTCATACATCAATGACAGAGGCCCATCAAAAGCCGAACTCCCAGGAGCAGCAGCAACTGCACCAACGGTTCAGAAAAACCAGGATTACACAGGTGAAGGTAGACGTGAGGAGAAACGTTGGCCAAAACCTACAAGGTTCCTGTGTAACCTGATCAGAAAGGGGGTCGCTAAAAAAGCTTACCTGTCGATCACACTTGAAGGGGTCATCACAGATGAAGCCCTACTGGACGGTGGAGCCGACATAACTATTATGTCAGCCAAACTGTTCGAGGAGCTCAGGACCGCCGCTAACGGTGTTCACAGGGAAATACCTCTCATAGAATGTGCTATAGGGCTGCAGGGCCTCGCAGAGACGAGGACAACCCTAACAGCTATAGCTATGGTTCACATGCAGGTTGGCGAGATGACACTATACCACCCGGTACATGTGTCTCCGGTTGACTCATTCCCATTTTTGATCGGCCAGGATTTTATAAATCGCTTTGAGGCGATTATAGATTATGGTAAACAGACAATGTGGGCCAGAGTGAGCAAACCTCTGCCAATACTCGTGCCTCCTGAGACAGTCACAGACTGCCCAACAGCAGGCACCACAGAAGGCACCGAGGACCTCTCAGCAGAGAACACAGTCCCAGTAAGTAAGCCTTCAAAAGCATGTGAAACCGAAGAGACCCAACAGGTGGACCCAACTCTGACTGAACAAGAAAGACTCCTCTGCGAGCTGAGACAGTCAGAGCCCACCAGATACTACCTACCATTGGTAGTTAAAGGTGTAGAGATCCAAGGATCCCACACCAAAGATGCTACACTGTTGCTGCGGACAGATAAATCAGCTATCAAGGACGGAGCCGAGGATGGCCCTCCGGGGTCTTTTGACCCCTCCTGGCTGCTCGCAACTCTGTCAGTACAACCTACAGCCGAGGTAATGGCAGTCACACGTGCACAGCCTACAGCCAAGCCGGCTGACAACACAGTCTCTGTACAACCCGTGCTGACTGACCCAGACATCATCCAACTTCAGAAGTTGGATCCTGCGATAAACTCGATGATGCTGTCTTTGACTGACCCAGAGAAAAACACTCCGTCCGAAGCCGACCTGGATTCCAATCCAGACCTTAAAGTCCTCTTTCAGCTGCGCAAACAGCTAAAACTACTCAAGGGCATCCAAACTTTTGCTCATGGAGCGACGTCCTCACCCGTGTTCGTGGTCCCCCATGACCACAGGGGGGGGGGGTGTTGTTAGTTCATGCGCATGACCTCCCGTCCGCAGGACACAAGGGAGATAACGCCACGCTGAAAGCATTAAAACAAGTTGCTTATTGGCCTGGAATGATAAAGGACTGGACCCCACCTGATAACAGACAAACTGTCTCCAGTTGTCTATCAGATCAAAATCAGCAAAGGCCAAAAAGAGCCAATGGTTAAATGGGTACATCAAAACCAGGTTAAACTACACAAGGCGTTCAATAACTCCACAGGAGACAAAGCTCTCACAAACTCAGACCTAGTGGGGAAAAAAGGTAGTCTAAGCGGAAACTAAATAAGTTTAAGCTTAATTAAGTGTTAAGATAACAACTCAGATGCAATAACGTGATCAAATCTGACAGTCAGAGTGAGTGACGCACCGAAACGTCGTTTTCTAGTTGCTTAATCACTATTTTTGTCGACGTTGAGACATCGTTTAATTGGTTTTTGGTATTGTTTCTGAACACCCCCAGCAAGAGTGAATTTTGTGTGTACTTTAGTTAGAGACTAAGAGAACTTTAACTATGCCAACATGCAGTTCATTTGTTAAAATTCAACCTTTGAGGAGTCAATGTAGATTAAAGCTACTTTAAGTACCATAACCTACATTGGTCTCACGACGCTCAAGCTGAACCTACTCGAACAATCCTATTCGGGGCGGGGGGCTAGCTAATCCTTCAGTTGAGTCTCGCCATAGACTCCAAAAACATTTAGGGGGAAACCAAAAACCAAACCTCAAGTCGTTCGTCTAAAGGGACAACAGACAATTGAACCAAACTATATTTTGCCATGTAAATCTAACTTAAACCAAGTTAGGGATGGAAAAATAGTTTGGAATGCCCTTCTATAGGTATAAATCCCTATATATATATAATTTTTCAGCATGACCCACCCTTTAAACTGGTATCTGTAGCTGATCTAAATCATGATAGCTTACACACCAGGTGCATATAGGTTAAGGTCTTATGTAAAATCCCACTCATAAGCCCAACTAAAACCACATAAATGTATGACACATAGAACCAGAATGGCACCCACTGGGAACCACCAGCAGCAACCTTCGCTGAAGGGACCTACAACTCCAACGTGGGTCTCCAATCTCCATCCAGTGGTTGCCTCTGCTGTTCAATCGAGGGAACCCCTCTGCATGCTGATCAATCAACACCTCCAATCGTTGTGGATTTATCGTTGTGGATTATATGACTTTTTCCAATGGATTACAGACTTTGTTTCCAAGGGGTAAAAGCATTGCTGCAATGGAATTACCAACAACATTGTAGAATTACCTAAACCGTTGTGGGATTACCTTCTTTGACTATTGTTTTCCTCTTGCTGGATTACATCAAGATCAAGGACATTCGGAGGCGTAAGTTCATGTTGGAATTCATCCCCATGGACAGGCGATGATTTCCAAAGGGGGGACTGTAGTGAACTCGGCCTCGACCAAAACCTGTCTCTGAAGACCTTCATGGGACAGGAACTGTTATTTCATTGATTTGAATCCAAAAATACAAATTATCTCATCCAGAGACTTTCTAATTGTATCCTGAAGTAATCAATTGAAAGAACACTCTCTTTTTATATTATCATTATTATTTTACAATATCTTGATAATCAAAGTGTGTTTAGTTCATATCATTTCTAATGTTGAAGTGAACCACTCATTTTAAATCAACTGTGAAACAGTATTAATGATTTTTTTAAACATCATTAGACTTAGAAATCAAGTTAAATGTCTATTTACAAAGTAATTATGCATTTTGATCTTCTGTCTGAATGAGAAGTCAGTGATGTCGGTCAAAAGTCAGAGACAGTCAGAGAACGAGTTATTAGAACAAAGTGTCTTGTTTTTAAACCTAGCAGACGGTAAATAACTGCCACTGGCATCTGCGTTCCTCTCACTTCTTCAAGACATTTCTCTGTCTGTACTAAATGTTCCTAAACATTCCTGAACCCTCTCTTGACTTTTAATAACCCTCTGACATCACTAGAACCACCCCCTGTTGGTTGTTTCAACCAATCAGGAAGTACTAAGTGACCGGAAGTGAGGACTCTTTTAAAAGTCAGCACTTCCTGGAACTAGTCAGTCTTCCCATGTCTTCAGAGTCTCCTCAGTCTTCTCAAGTCTTCTCGAGTCTTGGACTGGAGTCTTTGATCTGAGTCGAACTCAGTCTTTGATGGAGTCTTCTCAAGCCTTCTGGAGTCTTCCACTTCTGAGTGGAAACTCTGACGGAGTCACAGATCCTTGCTGTGAACTCACTCGGGCGTCACGCCTACAACTTCGAAGGAAGCCTGTTTGTTGAACGGAGTAAATCGACACGACTTCTGACAATGACCAGCAACCGGAGACGCTGGAAAGGTAGCGTTGAAATGGACCCGGTACCAGAGCTGATTCATCTTCTGAGTCGTTGCACGCTAAGTGTACCGGAGGTTTGAGCTGGTGTTGAAAGAAGCGTGCTAATTCTGGTCAACAAAACCTACATATCCATCTCCATCTTCCTCTAAAATCTTTCCTCTTGTAAATCTTTCTAGATGCCTTCATAAATGTCCTGTTGTCTTATTAGTAAAGCGTGCTAAGTTTTATTAATCAGAACCAGATCAGCGAATCAAGTGCACAATGTTTTGATGTTAAATTTTGATTCTGTTAAATAAATGACCGCATTGATTCTGATGGGTCAAAGAAAATTAACGTCTCCTGTCACTGATTAAACAATACTCACAGTTATCTCGGTCACATGGCATTAATTTAACTCGAAAAAGAAAGAACCCGTTATATTTAATTATTTAGTAGTGAAGGTACAGTGAAGCTGTCCGTTGACAAACTACATTCAGTGGCCCGTACGTGTTTTAAATAACATAAATACTGGCCCGTGTGTCCACAGCAAAGGCTGACCCCACATTTCACTACAACAGAAATATTTTGCTAACAAGCATACTCACTATTTCAGCAGCTTTGGTTCATTATCAAGAGATATGCATCAGAATTAGAGTTTTGTTTAAGTTCTAGGATATAAAAAATAAAACTAGGGAGAATATAGGAAATAGAAAATAAGCGTGACCTCCTCTGTACAATGTTTTTGTGTAGACACAAATCTCCTGTTTTCATTTTGAAGGTTTCCCAAAGAACAAGATGTGAGGAAGAGGAGGAAGTATCTTTGAGGAGGATTCATCTGAGCAGTGAGGATTTTAAACTGGAGGATTTTGATCAAACTGGTCAGACTGTCCGACTGAGAGATGGTGTGGTACCATCGGTTCACCTTCAGAGAGTAGGAGCATCATTATAAGTTCATTAGTTCATAAAGTTACATATTTTATTGTGAGTCACAAGGTGAGACACCTCCATGTGTTTATACAGTATTTAATCAAATTCCAGCTCATTCTAAGTATAGCCAGGTTTGTTTCTATGGTCAATTGGCTGTGGAGGCCATCTTGAATTTGGTCAGCTTCAAGCTCTAATCAGCTGTTGACACCTCCATTAATAACTTTGAGTTACCATAAAATCCATTCAGTGGTTGACAAGATATTTTGCTAACAGACAACCCAGGGATAATAATGCAAAAAGCAATGTGAGCAGAAGTAACAATGAAAGACGGTCCACACTCTTAAATATTGGCAGTCTTTATTTTTACAAGACTAAGAAATGTTTAATATACATTTTTTCTTACAATTTAACATCTATCTCTTCTTTATCTTTCATAACATTTAGGAGACACTCTGACAAGTAAAAATCTGGTGTACTGTTACGGCCTCTTTTAGAGACATCTAAAAACGGCTGCGCTCTATTTACACACTTTTTCATTCTTTTCAGTCACTCTTTCATCAGAAAGCGAGTCCTTTCAGGTTCTGTGGGCCAAAGGCAGGTGGAAACACTGCATCACCCGTCCGACTCCACGCTGTTCTGCCAGTCAAACATCCAGCAGGCGGAGCGCCCGTCCAGTCAGAGGACACTGCTGCCCCCGGCCTGCACGCAAAGACATTCACCATCGTCACCCGAAACGTTTCCTGTGACCTCAGTTTCCTCCACGTTCGAGACAAGTCTTCCAAAGCGACACCGACACATGCACGGACCCTCGCAGAAATGTTTGGAGACAAAGGTAATGCCGACTGAAGCTGCCGGAGCTCAGCTCTGAGATTTTAAGGCTTCAGTCCTTGACGTGGTTTGCATAGATGTTTCATCAAATCCTTCAAAGTCAGATTCTTTACACGAAGGTGGAACTTGAAGAAAATGTCATGTAAGATAACTCAACCTGTCAATTTCAAAAGCAAGAGGTGTTTTTTTAAATCTAGTGTTTCTAAATGTCCAGAAAAATGCAGACTTTTATCCCTCGTATTGGCTAAAATATTTAAATGTCTAAAATATGATCTGTATAATAAATTACTTAGTTTTCAAAACCTTACTGTGCATTTCAAAGGACAAGATATTTGGGACAATATGTCAATTCTGAAATATTTCATTCCCCAATTACATTAAAATACAGGCACAAGTTACTGTACAGAAGCAGAGAGGCAGCGCCACTTTGGAATTGAAAAGGCCAGGTGAAGCAACTCAGACCTGACAAATCAAACAAGATAAACACGATTGCTCATTGTGCTTCAGGGAATTGGTGCAGACAGATCAGAGCGTATCAACATCTCCAGTCTTTTCTTTTTGTAACAATGAAAAGATGCTAATAATGTACCAAAGATGGAAAATCACCTCAAGTTTCCACCTCCAGGTGAAACAACGAGAACAGGCAGACTAAACGATTCAGTTCATTTACACTCACACAGGCCGTTTAAAGAGGAAAAGGAATGCGCTTTTTGGGACAAGGATGTTGTGAATCTGCACTCTGTCCTCTTCCACCTACAACTATAACAGCAAAATCCACTGTAGTACCAAATATATATCTTTATACCAAAAATAAGCTAAAAAATTACACCTCCTTGACATAAACCCTGTATCAAAACCATCTGAATTCTCTTCTCTGGTTCGATGTGAAATGCTCTGAACATCCACGTTGTCATTTTCTCTTCAATAACATGTTAAGACCACATGGAGTCTGTGCTGAACTGAAACCTGCAGCACCAACGAGTGGGATGTGTGTGTGTGTGTGTGTGAGGGCATTCAAGACTTCACCTTCCTCTGGGGTCAGGGCAGGGGGAACACAACTCTGTCAGACACTTTCAGCTCTGCACCGACAACGAGCGTATACACGAGGTACGACGTTACCTTCCAACGGCCTAAGCTGAGGAGATGAGGCGATAAGAGAATGAAAAGACTGGTTGTTGTAATGCAGATGTGAAAAATGTTTGGGCTCTCGTAAAGAATGACTCCGTGTGTGCGTCAGACACCGTGTTGTGACTCATCTCCTCGTATTTCTGAAACTGCTCCTTGACCGAAGCAAGAAGCAAAGTTTCAAAACTTTCACGAACATTCAAGGTGTGCGTTTAAAAACACACAAAACAGCTGCTGTGAATCATCAACATCCATCGCAACATTAAGTTCCATTTGCGCTTCAATCCTTTCATGTGTGAATAAATGACGAGCATCCTCAGAAAGGTAAAGATGCTCCAAAACAGGTGCTTTCTATCTGACCGAACATGCTCCTCCATGTTCATCAGATGGAAATCACCCCAAAAGGCACAAATACAATCATGACAATAAATTGCCAAACTCAGACCAATGTACGTTTGTTCCGCTGCGAACAGAACCATGACGCAGCTCCTAAGCAGCCAGCAGAGTGTAGATGGGTCTAAGGGAGCAGGTAGAACATTATACTGCTCATGTCCTTACAAACATACAAATAGTTAATAGTGAAGTTACTGTAATATTAAGAAGAGTCCCCCCCTCCCCCTCCAACAGTGGACAGTCTGAGGTCCTGAAGGCAGTCTTTAAAGTTTCTCTGACGGTTCTCCCCTTCGTACTGAATAATCCTGGTCCTTTCTGTTCGGGTACTTTTATCTGAGGTGAGGCGCGAGCAAAGCCAGGGCCAGCCCCCACAACGCCAGCGCCATGCTGCCCTTCAACGCCGCCCCGGCATCCCCTGGACTTTTGAGCACCAGATCAACTTTGGGTTTCCTGATGCTCGGTGTGGTGGGGAAGTACATATCCCTGTCACATGATGGGGAGTCGCAGCCGCTGCCACTCTCCTCCCCTCCGCTGCCGTCCTCGTCTGTAGAAATAAAAAATGAGGATGAATGAGAACATTTGGAAGCTTTGAAAAAGAAACGACTCGTTCAGCTTCTTCACCGGTTTCAAACGAGATGTCATTGCCGCTGTGCGCTGCTCTGAGCCAGCTCGTCATTTCCTTCAAGACTGAAATCTGCCGGCGGATCACAACGTCTGGTTTTGTGATGTCCACCTCCACGTCTGGGTTTGACACCTGATTGGCCAACCCGTTGCCAATGACAACGGACTCGTACCTGTGGATGATAAAAATCAGTTTGCTCAAACACTCACATGAGTACAGAGGACATGTAGAGTTGTTCTGTTCGGGTCTTACCTGCTTTTAGCTGTACCGTTCCAGCAGTCGTCACCAGGCGCAGTCCTCTCGTCTGCACAGACGCTTTCTGGCAACGTCGACCAGAACTTCTTGGCATGTTTCAGCTTCTTCTTCACTTCATTTGTCTAAGAGAACACACACAAAGACCTGATTAGGCCACAAGAAAACACCAAATCAAAAGTTATCTGCTGTGCTTTTTCATTTTCTGTGTCCTTACCAGTCGATCCAGACTGGTACCAGCAGCAGTTGTGGGTCTGGCCTCTGGACTGTAAGGACGGAAACGACCGGTAAAACCCGTTTCTTTCACAGAACGTTTGGATCGGAAGGCAGCGCTTGGTTTAGGTGCCCCACATCCTTGGAAAACCTGTTAGGGAGCAGAAAGAAGCAGAGCACTGAGTGAAAGTGAAGCTTTTATTACTGATTTAAACTTGTTCTGAAGCACGTGGTCAAATCAAGGCCCGCGGGCCAGATGTGGCCCGCCACGACGTTTTATGTGGCCCGCGAGAGCTTGAAAGGTCTGACTGTCGTATAATAAATAAGTCAAAAGGGTGCACTAACAACAAAAATCATCTCCCGTAATGAATGCAGATTGTTAGCTGCGCAGTAACAGCATCACCACTAGAACAGTGTTTCCACATCAATATCATAACTGAGACATTCAAATGATGCCAACATGTCCAGGAAGACAAAAACTGATGCAGATGGAGGCTGTTTCAAGAAGGATGGGAAGGAGAAGATGTGTTTGTGCTTCAAGGAGAGGATCCGGTATGTCCTTTGTGCTGTGAGGCAGCGGTGCTGGTCAGAGAGCCTTCAACCCTCATGTTGTTCTGTTCAGTTTATTATACCGATTCAATGTTTTTATTGTATTATGTTAAATTTGCAGCAATGTGACTGGGATTGCAGGTTTATGTGTTTATGCAGGTAAATGTTTTCTATAATAAAACCATCTGTCATTAGTTGATGCATGACCCTTGCCAGCTGTGCAGACATTTTGCTTTTTGTAAAATGCTACAAAGTTTAGCAGCTCACAGTTGTTGGTTGGATCGTTACGTTTTGAACAAAGTTAATGTCATAACTTGTTATTTTTCCTTATTAACTTGGAAAGTTTGATCATTGATTTATGGAGTAATGTGGGTTTCATAACCTGACAAGTTAAAAGTTTTATGTTATAACAGTAGATACATTTGTCCACATCTATGCAAATATATAAATGTAATATGTGTAAGTCCAGGGTGTAAAAAATAAGAGTTGTTTAACATTAAAGAGCAGCTACATTTATACCGTCTTACAGTCACATGTGGCCCTTTGCTGACGTGGCCTCGGTGGAAATGACACCCCTGTTGTAAAGGGACCGAACGATACAAACCTTCTGGGACACCTGCATGCTGTTCTCCTGCATGTTCATGATGGCCTCTGAAATCTTGACATCGATGGGGTCCATGACGGACTCGAAATTAAACGGACCCTCAAGCCTCTCAGCCAGGCTAAGCATGGCATCTGGAAAACAGAACGCAGGAACTTAGCCTGGGTTTTTAATACAAAGATGTTGTTTCTTCAAACCACCGCCAGGGGGAGCAGTTCCCAGCAGTGAATCAACTCCATCAAACTGCTGCAGCAGTTAGAACTGAAAACACAACTTTTCCAGATCCGTCAGTATCGGCAGCCGTCTCGTCATCGTGCACACACACAACATAAAGAAGCGTGCTTATGAGCCCCACCCTGAGCGTACTGAAACAGATCAGTGTGTGTTGACACAGAACCAGCTGCTTTTCTTCTGCTGCAGCAACACCTAGTCGACTGATACGATGCACCAAAGACGGAGGGACATGTTTGTACATGGCTTCTAACAACACAGAGGTTGATTTGCTACATGTGTTTTTAACGAGCTGAAGTGCAGCACATCCCATTAAACTGTGGTGTTTCTGTTCATATAAAACTACTTAAGGATGGCAAATCTAAATCTTAATGAGTTGATAAGGGCTGCAGGAGGTTTGCTGGTTACCCAGGAAGTTGTTCCACTCTGCGTCCAGGTCCGCCTGGTTAGCCAGACACCCCCGCATCACATTCAGACAGTAATTCTGGCAGGGCTTCAGCGCCACTTGGCCCGAGCAGTAGGGACAGTACAACATCTTCATGGCTGCCCGGACACAGCTGGGAGACGCACTGACCTGGAGGAGGCAGGGGGGAGTGTTTCATTCAACCACAGTAAAAAACAAACATCCAACAGTCTCAGACACACACGTGCCTTTGAAAAGATCGAGCTCTACTTTTATAAACCAGCTAGACAGTGAAATCTAATCAACAGTGAATCAAGTGGAAACAACATGTGAGAGCAGCCAGAGGTTTGTTCGCTGCGACCACAGCTGCTTTCTGACAAACATGAAGTCGTGGCTCTGAGGGCAGGGATGGACGGGGAAAACATCTTGAACACATGGGAGGCCGGCTGACTTCTTAAACCTTCAAAAATCATCTAAAGACGACTTACCGTCGAAACCTTATCCACCACAGTTGGCATGAGCGCCAGGCCGCGCACGAAGGTGCGAGCGGCCACGAAAGCGCGCATCAGCTGGATGCGCAGCTTCCGAGGCACGTCGCCGAACGGCTGCAGCTGCTCCGTGTGCTGGCTCACGCACTCCATGTAGGCGTCGCTGAACTCGTACTGCACGTTGACCAGCCGGAACATCCTCTCCAGCAGGTCGTCCCAGAAGTCTGCCAGCATGGAGTCCAGGCTGACGGCAGCGCTGCCCGACACATAGTACTGCGTTAGGGACTCGAAGAACTTGTGGAACAGCTCTGCGTTCTGCACATACATCATGCCGTACGTCCGCACAAACATGTTGTGCAGCGAGCTCTCGGCATTTTTCAAAAGCTCCCGGAAAAACTCTGCGGAGAGAAGAGGACTGTGTGTGAAGATCAAATGTGGAGGACGGCACAACACTCAGCACTCAGACCGTCACTCTTTGATACTTTGTCAGTCATTTACACTTTACTGCCATTTAATGAAAAACTACTTTGTACTTTAAATAAAAAGCCCAAACTGAAAGATCACATTCACATAAGTTTGATTTGTCTTGCAGCAATACTTTTCATTTGGTTCAGGTGCTGCTCTTGTCTTCTGATCATGGACATGTTTCTACACCTTGACTGGACGGGACTTGGAAAAAAACACACTTTTTTACAAAAGTACTGACAATGAGCAACTTTAAAAAAAGCTTTGGCAGCAGCCGAGCACGAGGTCGAAGGACCCGCCTGCAAATCAGGCTGCTGCAAGACACAGATGTGAGGAAGGCAACGCAAAGATTTCTGCTGCTCTCAAGGATCCCAGAAGAAAATGGTCTCCAGAAGGAAGAGCGAGACCTGCAGACCTGCAGACGTGCAGACCTGCAGACGTGCAAACCTGCAGACCTGCAGACCTGCAGACGTGCAGACCTGCAGACGTGCAGACCTGCAGACGTGCAGACCTGCAGACGTGCAGACCTGCAGACGTGCAGACCTGCAGACTTGCAGACGTGCAGACCTGCAGACGTGCAGACCTGCAGACGTGCAGACCTGCAGGCCTCCATCGATCTGGGGTTACGTCAGAGTCTCAACAGAACGCTTGAAAGCTGCTTGATGGACTCTCAGACTGTGAGGACCAAGAGTCTCTGCTCTGATGAAAGACTGAATTGTTGAGCCTCAGCTTTCCATGTGAAGGAGCACCATCCCCTGAGTGAAGCATGGTGGTGGTAGCATCATGCTGTGGGTTGTTTTTTAGCCGCTGAGACTGGGAGACTGGTCAGGGTTGAGGGAAGGCTGAACAGAGTACAGATATATCCTGAATGAAAACCTGCTCCACAGCTCAGGACCTGAGCCTGAACCCAAGGATCACCTCCCAGATGTCAGTGGCCCACAGCCCAGGAGGGGCTCAGAGACCACTGAGCCACAGTGCCGACTTGAACCCTGTCAAAGATTTCTCAATGGACCCAACAATGGCTCAACCAGTGTCTCCATCCAACATGATCTTAGGAGGATTATTAAGAAGAATGCCAGAAAACCTTTTAATCCAGGTGTGCACAACCAGCTGGTGTAACTGCTTTCAAAGGTGTTTCAACAAGTACCAGGCCTGAATTATAAATAAGTATTATAAATAAATAAATACGTACTATAAACAAATAATTATAAATAAATAAATAATATAAATAAATAATTAGCATGAATAAATAAATAAATAATTACTATAAATACATAAATAATAATGATAAATAAATAAATAATTATTATAAATGATTATAAATAAATAAATACGTACTATAAACAAATAATTATAAATAAATAAATAATATAAATAAATAATTAGCATGAATAAATAAATAATACTATAAATAAACAATAATTATAAATACATAAATAATTACTATAAATACATACATAACAATGATAAATAAATAAATAATTACAGCATCAGGCTGCAACAGAACACTGGGACAGGGAATAGCAGGTGTCCTTGTGAAGGATGAATTCTCGATGCAAGTGGTCCGAGGAGAGCGCACAGTCACTGAACTCCCATCATGCATCTGTGAAAGCTCCAGCGCTGCACTTTCCAGGAACCTTTGAGCTCTCGACCAACACTTTGCTTTTGGACTGTCGTGCTAATATGCAGACAATGTACAGGACGACTCTTGAATGGAACCGTCTCTGAGCCGCTCTGTGGAGCAGGACAGGTGGGAGCGGCTCAGAGACGGCCTCCTTGCTCCTGCGCACCTCCTCATCGTCTCCACGGTAACTTCAAGCTGACCACCATCAACAGCGTTTTTCTTCTTGTCACATTCCACTGGCTTTCCTTTTCTGCCAACTTCTCTCCGACTGTCCTCCAGAAGCATTTTCAATGGGATTACTGAATAATGCCCCCCCCCCCCCCCGGTCTCCTTTCGCATATATAGACCTGCGTCTCCCCTCCCTCCTCTGCTTTCACTTCATCAGTTCCTTCAGAGCTCTCTTCACTACAGACAGGGAACAATGACCTACTTCATCCTGAGGAATGTCCATCACCCCCCCACCCTCAATAATCCTGGCCTCTTCTCCC